TTACAGCGGCACTGCTGGCATGTTTAAAACCATCCAGGGAAAGTCTCCCAGCTAGATATTAATCAGAACCGTTGTAAGCTAGACATGGACCATACACAGGATGGATGTTTTACCACTTTGGTGGAGTAAAACCAAGTCCTGTCCACACTTAGAGGGAAAACCCCCAAGGCATGAACTCCTTAGGGAACTAGAATTGAGGAGGGGTGGGGGGATGAGGGGGGCTGGGACCAATGGGGACGCAGGCAGTTGGATTTCTTTGTTGTTACCATTTTATTTTTGTTTTTTCGAGACAGGATTTCGTCATAGGCCAGTTTGGCCTCAAACTCAGACATTTGCCTGCCTTTGTCTCTGGAGTGCTGGGATTAAAGGTGTACACCACCTCATCGCCAGCTTCAGGTGGCTGTCTTGAAGCCTGCTGCTGTAAGCCAGGATTGACATCTAGAAGTCTTCAGTGGACTCCCTTCCCAGATGAATGCAATGAACAACATAAAATTCAAATATTAAAGAGTTCTGCTCAACCAGAATCTTGTTTGGTTTTGTTTTTTTGAGCCAGGGTTTCTCTGTGTAGCTCTCGCTGTCCTGGAACTTGCTTTGTAGACCAGGCTGGCCTTGAACTCACAGGTCTGCCTGCTTCTGTCTCCCCGGGGCTGGGATTAACCACCACCCGGCTTCAAGCAGAGTCTTATCTGCTCCCCTGCAGGGGTGCTTCTCACCAGTTCACATTTCTGCAGAAGGTCTGCACCCAGCCAGGCCTGCCTGGGGCTGAGGCCGTTGGCTCAGCCTTAGAGTGCTTGCCTAGAATCCCCCAGTGAGGGGCTGGAGTGTGGTTCAGTGGTAGAGCCCCTGCCTAGAATCCCCCAGTGAGGGGCTGGGGTGTGTGTGGCTCAGTGGTAGAGCCCCTGCCTAGAGCACCCTCCCCTGCCCCCACCTTCATGAGGGGCTAGGGGTATGGCTCTGTGATAGGAAACCTGCCTGGTGAGTCAGGGTCTCTTTCCCCACCCACACCTGCTTGTTCTGCCTCAGTGAGGGCTTCTCTCCAGCAGAACAAGCTCAGGGTCAGTGGCTTTCCATCTCAGTCACTGAGCAAGCTGATGGGGAGGATGCTGTTGCCGTCCACCGTCAAGAAAGAGCTTCAGGAACCAGGCATGGTGATGTACCCTTGTAATCGCACCGCTCCGGAGGCCGAGCACAGGAGGATCTTGAGTTTATGGATAGACTGGGCTACACAGCAAAACCCTGTCTCAGAATATCAAAAATGGATTTGGTGAGATGGCCCAGTGGGTAACCCAGTTTACTGCACAAGCCTGAGTTTGTCTTCTACCATAGGACCTGGCAGGAGACAACTAGTCTCTGAAAATTGGTCTCTCTGACCTCTACATGCCCTTTAGGCACATGTATGCTTGCACTCTCACAACACACACACACTCACACACACACTCACACACACACTCACACAAATGTTTTTAAAAAGTAGAAAATGATAAAGACACACAGGGTCCAGCTCTAGCCTCCTCATGCATGTGCCCATATATGTTTAGGAACATATACACAAAATATCAAAATAAACAAAATGATATTTGTTATCATTCATAACTCGGGTGACCCGAGGCTGGTCCCATGAGGGGCAGTGGTGATCACCTGCGAGGCCTTGCCAGATGTCCTGAGGCCTTGTGAGAGACAGACAGATATGCCATGCAGAGAGAGCTTGGGTATAGAGTTTATTTAGTGGGTTATGGAGAGGGAAGTGGAGAAGAGGAAGGGAGAGAAGCAGAAGCTGCATCTCCAGAAGAAGGGCAGGCAGATAGAGCAATGGGGGGGGGGGTAGGATTGGGAGTGTGCAGGGCTTGTCTCTTAAAGGGACAGGGTACCCAGGTGACAGGCCAGGCCAGCAGATTACATCAATATCACATCACATTTTATTAGTCCAGAAGAGGTTAATATTTTAAAAGTACCATTCACATGGGATTTACATTTCTTTCCCACCATCACAAAGCCAAAAATTAAGTTGAGACTTTGTATGTGGGGGTGACTGGTTATTGTCTTTCAGTGCCTGGGCTTTGAGGTGTTCTCTGTGCCTTCCCTCAGTTCATGTCCCCTCAGCTCATGTCCTCTGCCTTGGCATGAGCATTTCACAGCATCCTTCAGGTAAGGGCTCAGTCTAGTGAGTGTCAATCATCTCTTCCTGCTCCTTTGAGAGAGGTCCTGTTCACGGCAGCTCGGGACAGAGATGGGGTCCATATCCACATTATCATCTCCAGGACCCTTTGTCACAGACTCACGTTCTGCAGTCTCTGCAGAAACCATGGTTTAATACATGATCTTTCTTTCGGAACTCTACAAAACATGTCTTCTAATCATGCAGAGTGAAGAAATAAGATCAGCTCTGCTACCTCGGTGACTTTCTTCTTTTGCCTTCATATGCATCCCGGGCTTAAGTTTCTTGTACGCAGAGATTGCTCGTTCATTTCCCAGTCTCCCAGACTCGAATAATCACACAGAAACTATATTAATTACAATACTGTTTGGCCTATTAGCTCAGGTTTCTTATTAAGTAACTCATATCTTAAATTAACCCATTTCTATTAATCTGTGTATCCCCATGAGGCTAAGGCCTACTGGTAAGTTTCCGGTGGCGTCTTTCTCCTTCGGCAGCTACATGGCTTCTCTTTGACTCTGCCTACTCTCTCTATATATCTCTGTTCAGATTTCCCACCTGACTTTACTCTGTTAAGTCATTGGTCCAAACAACTTTATTCATCAACCAATAAAAGCAACACATAAACAGAAGGACATCTCACATTATCTCCCCCTTTCTGTCTAATTAAAAAGGAAGGATCTAACTTTAACACAGTAATGCTACTTAGAATATTTAGTACTTGGATGAAAGGTATATCTAATTACTTTATTATTTGAGATAGGGCTTTGGCAGAATTCCTCAAGTAGGCTAGGGTGGCTGGCCAGGGAACTGCAGGCATTCACTTGGGTTCTGTTCCCAGTACCACAGGAAGGGCACAGGAAGCATCATTGGGAGGAATGCCTCAAGAAGTTGAGGTCCATGAAATAGGTTACTAGAGTATTCCAGAAATATCTGAGGATGGCAGGAACTGCCTTCATAATGGGGATCAGCAGAAGACATTGCTGTAAGGCCCAGGGACCAGGTTTCTGGTTGGTTTCATACATCCTGATGGCCAGCCCCGGACCCAGAAGGTTCTTGTTGTGACAGGACACTCACAGTCCAAGGGGACTTGCATCTGAGGTGGCACACCTCAGTCGAAGTCTGTTGGTGTGGGTGCTTGTGATTTCAGGACTGTTCTTGAGGTTTACTGGAAAGGGTCACCTCTCTTATCCCAAGGAATACCAGGAAGGGTAGCCTCTACAGGGAACTCTAGAAAATCTTGCAGAGGGGGGTCCCCAGTAGAGAAAACCCAGCCCTTATCTAAGCATGTGATGCATGTCTGTAAACCCAGCGCTTAAGAGGTAGAGGTTAAAAAAAAATCAGGAGTTCAAGGCCATCTTTACTGATTTCGAGACCAGACTGGGTCTTGAATTTAGTATTTTTTAGAAAGAGAAAAAAAGAGACAGTCGGAAGAAGGGAGAGGAAAGGGAGCAGCTCTGGAGCATTCAAGTCCACAGCCCAAGTACCAGGGTAAAAATGGCTCTTTTTTTTGCTGGCTTTGCTTAATGTTCCCTGCAGGAGCCAGGAGGAGTTGGGGCAGGAGAGAGAAATGGGCAGTGATGTAGAAGGCAGGCTATGCCCATCCATTGCTGGTCTCTAGCAATTCTATGCAGTTTCAAGAGCATGAGTTACTTATGGGAGGCAAGTTTTGGTTCTGGTAAGATGGGACTTAAATTCTTGAAAAAAGACCCCTTCCTAATAGGTGTGCCCACCATAAGTGTGTGCCTGTCATGTGGACAGAGTGGGGGGCAAGGCAAGCTGGAGGGAAAATTTGGGGATGTGGGAGCTGCATCTTCTTATTTTTGTTCATTTTATTATACATATTCTTGTTTTATTTTTATTATTAACTTTAGATTTGATTTGAGACAGAGTCTCATATAGCCCAGGGTAGCTTCAAACTTGCTATTGTAGGCAAGGATGGCTTTGAGCTGATTCTCCTGTGTCAACATCCCATGTGCTGGGGTCACAGGTGTGTGCCACCATACCCAGTTTGTGCAGAGCTGGTGATGGGAACCCGAGCTTCATCCATGCACGCTACAAAGTTTTAGAGCCTGTTTCAGGCCAGGAAGCCCTTATTGCACCAGTTCACCTTCAAACCTGCTGAGAGCACGGTGGTGGCCACGCGGAGGACGCCTGTGTCATGAGACGGTGGCCTGGTGAATGAGACAAGAGATAGCAGGCAGCAGAGCTATGGGGTATAGCTGAGAGCTAGGGAATGTGGACAGGCACGTGGAGGAACAAATGTGGGGAGCAGATGAATGTAGAGAGATGAGTGTGGGGGTGGGGTGGATGAATGGAAGCCTAGATGTGGGAACTGGTGTGTGAGTGAGGCGACAGGTGAGTGGAAGAATGAGCCGGTGAGTGTGGACCAGTGAGTGAGCGGATGGGTTGTGGACAGGTGACTGACTATCGACAGTACCTGTGAGCCTCATCCTTTCTCCTGCGCTTAGATCACTTAGAAGATGGACTCTGTCCCCACAGGAGCAGATGGCGCAGGACAGGATGGGTGGAGGCTAATTTTTGCTACAGGCCTCGGCTTTAGAGTGGGCAGGCACTGAATGCGACTCCCTCCCTCCCCTCCAGGGTGACAGCTCAGACAGAGCAGGGTGGTGTACACTGAACAGAGAGAGCATCTGGGCCCCAGAGGAGCTAGCTGCACCAGCCAGGTTGGACGAGCTTAGGAGGAGAGGGTTAGGGTGGCAGGTCTTGGCGGCAGCGCGGGGCCTGCGCGACGGGGCTCCGGTGTGTCGTCGCTATTCAGAAATAGCAGTGGGACGGGCCCTGGGGAGGGCAGCGGTCGGTGGGCGACCCGCGCGGGCGCGGTGCGCGGGGCCTGGCGGCCGGCGGCGCGCAGCGGGGGCGGGCGGAGGGCGGCGCCGCTGCAGTGCGGAGACCCGCTCGCCGTCCCCGCGTCCCCGCGTCCCCGCGTCCCCGCGCAGCTGCCTCTGGCCTCGGGCACCGCGCATCTACAGGTACGCAAGCTGGGGTGGGGTCTGCACGGGGATCTGGCCCTACCCAGAGCTGGGTCTCGGCGGGAACTGGGGGACTCACAGGGATAGGAGGGATTTGGGGAGCGACAGGATCGGCCGCAGGGCCACCCGAATGGTGGTGGTGGTGGGGCTGCTGGTGTCCGAGGTGGAGCCAGGCCCTTGCGCAAGCGCCCAGGACAGGGTCGGGCGTGTGGCTTGCACCGCCAGGATCTGGGGTCACCCTGCACCTACCACGATCTGGGGGTGTCCTGCACCCACCACCATCTAGGGGCGTCTCCAATTGCTCCTCTAGTGGGCTTAGGGTCCGGGGACGGGGTCACGGGGTGGGAGTGGGAAAGAATCCCCATCCTCCGAAACCAGGTGTACCTCGCCATCATGGGGACCCTTCAAACCCTGAGGCCTCTAGGCTGGGTGATTCCAATCCGTGCGGGGCGGGGCGGTGATCTGGACATTGTGACTCTACCCTGCGCAGGGCACACACTGACGCGTTCTAGAGCCTTTGGGCCTCTGTTACTGTCTTCCAAGCCCCCTCCTACCGCCCCCAACTCTGTTCCATTGTTTTCCTTACCCCCTTTCCCTTCCCCATGAAACAAGTCACCTCAATCCTTTGACAGCACCTCCCCCTCCCGCCCCAACTGCCCCCGCTGTGGCCTTAGATCGTGACAACATCTATATTCCACATCTGTGTCCTTAAAAAGGGGGAGGGGTGGATGAAAATGAAGCCATCCGACAGCATGGTTCCCATAGTGGGGGCGCCAGACATCCAACTTATTCCACCTCAAATTTCCCAGAAATGGAGAGCTTACCGTATACAAATTGTACTTGATCTTTTCCCATCTCTGCAAGAATTTGTTCAGAGGTAAGGAAGGGCTGAACCCACTCATCCGAGAAAGGCCTTTGACAAATATGGTTTCTGGTGTCACACACCCTTCACTGGGCCTAATCATTAGCAAAACATTGTACCCGCTGGGCAGGCCCTCTACCGCTGATGTGCAACCCTCTGGGTTTTTTGAAAATTCAGTTGTGTGTGTGTACATGCCTATGCGTGTTCACATGCGTATGCAGATGCATATAATGCATGTACATGTGTAGAAGGTCCATGGTTGGTGTGGGGTGCCTTCAGTGATCACTCTCCACATTATGTATTGAGGCAGGGTTTCCTCCTTGAACTCAGAGCTCACTAGTTCAGTAGTCTAGGTAGCCAGCTTGTCCCTGGGATCTCTTGGGTTCACTTCCCACACACGATGATTGTAGGCCACCAAGCCCACCTGGCATTTTCGCGGGTGCTAGAGATCTGACTTCCTCTCCTCGTGCATGGGCCGCAAGTGTTTTATTCAATGAGCCATCCTCTCAGTGCCCCCCCCCCCTTTTAAAGACAAAGTTGTATGCAGACCAGGCTGGCTTTAAACTCCTTATCTTTAGTCTCTACCTCCTGAGTAGGATCAGGGTTACAGGCATGCATCACCAGGGAGGATTTCTTTGCTCCTGGCGATGAAACCTGCATGCTAGGCAAGTACTCACCAACTAAGCCACATTCTCCAGCCTTACCCCAGCCTTCTTTGTCCTTTTTTTCCTTTGAGACAGGTTCTCACTAAGTTGTATAGGCTGATCCTGTTTAGGTGAGCCTTGAACTCACGATCCTCCACCCTAGTTTTCTGAGTAGCTGAGATGACAGGCTTGCACCACCAGGCCCAGCCCACATGTACTTCATAGAGCATACCAGCAGAACAGTCTGGCTTCCCCGGCTCCTCCTAAAGCTGATTTTAGTTTTCCTTCACAGGACCGTAGAAGACATTCTGACCATGGCCTCCCCATCCTGCTTCCACTCGGAGGACGAGGACTCTCTGAAAGGATGCGAGATGTACGTGCAGAAGCATGGCATCCAGCAGGTGCTCAAAGAATGCATCGTGCACCTCTGTGTTGCCAAGCCTGACCGGCCGCTGCGGTTCCTTCGGGAGCACTTCGAGAAGCTGGAGAAGGTGAGTGACCCCGATACTCTTGGTAGGTTCCCTGGGCAAAGCTGCGTCAAGTCCTCCCTTGGAATTCCAAGGAAGTGATGTCCCCATGTCTCAGGATTTGTCAAGACCATGGGAAGCAGGGCTAGGACTCCATGGCAGAGAGCTCACTTACAATTTCCCTAAGGGCATGGATCAGAGGGAGAGCTCTTATCTGTGTACCTCCAGTGAGGGGTTAGGGGCATAGCTGGGCAGTGGAGCACCTGCCTAGACTCCCCCAATGAGGGGCTGGGGTGTGGCTCAGTGGTAGAGCCCCTGCCTAGAATCCCCCAGTGAGGGGCTGGGGTGTGGCTCAGTGGTAGAGCATCTGCCCCCATGCATGAGGCCCTGGGCTCCATTCCCACTGATTCAGCTGACTTGAAACTGGCCTTTCTTTGTTAGACCTTGGGTTCATCTTTGAGCCCTAGAATCCCTCCTTCTATTTCTTTGAGGTTTGCAGTCTCCAGAACTCTCCTGGATGGCAGTTCAGGGATTATGAATCTGAGCCTGGTTAGTGGCTGTGGGGTTCACTGGCAGTTTTCAGGTTAGGCAAATGGGGATGAAGTCTGGTTGTGTGTGTGTGTGTGTGTGTGTGTGTGTGTCTTGAGAAGCTCTTGCATTGTAGTTCAGATTGGCCTTATACCTGCATAGTCCCTCCTATGTCTGGTTATAGAAACCATTTTGAGGTCTGGTGATCAGCCAGCCTAGCCCAGGCTTCAAGCCCCCAGATCCCAGTGAGGGAGTGAACAGCTGACTCAACTGTTACGAACACTGGTTGCTCTTCCATAAGACCTGGGTTCGATTCCCAGCACCCCCATTGGTGGTTTATAATCATCTGTAACTTCAGTCCCCTGGGATCTGGTGCTCTCTTTTGGCCTCACACATGTTTCACCTGTGTAATACATGTGTACATACACGCATGCATAGACATAGCTACATACGTACATTAAAAAAAGACAAGTAGCTCTGACCATGCAGGTGACGTGGGTGTGTAGTTTGGGTCCACGTTGATCTGAATGCCTGACTTGTAGAGTGGATGGAGGAATATACCCCTGACATGTTTGATGGGAAGAAGGACACGCCCCCTCCCTCCATTTCCCCCCCCCCCCACCTATTTTTCTCTGTGGAAGGTAATACTATGTTTCACAGGCTGACCTCAAACTTACAATCCCCCTGCCTCAGCAAAATGTGAGGATTATAAGCACAGGCTACTTCAGCTCTCTAGTCCTACTGTTCTGAGGACAGAGGCCCTCATGGCTGGCTCCTCTGTGAAGGACACCCCTCTGTGTTCCCCAGTCCCTCTTCTGGGTTCTTCCTCAGGCTGGGTTGGCTGGCCAGCCCAGGAGTCTTTGCAGGAGCCCATTGCTGTATCCAGCTTCCCTCCCAGGCAGTGACTCCATTCTCTTTACTGCATCTCTCTGTCCAGAGTATTGTCGAGTGTCACCTGAGGTCATTTAACTATCCCTTGTCTTGGTGTCTTGGAGACCAGATGGGAATGTGGGGAGTCTCATACAGACTGAGGCTTGCTTTGTAGCACTTGTGAGCCATCTGGTATTAAACAAACACTTTTCATGGGTGCCTCCTATAATCGCACAGCTCTGACCCGAAGCAACTCCCACTACTATTCATTACTATGTGTATTTTTAATTTTTGAGATTTATTTTATTTTATGGGTATGAGTATTTTGCTTGTGTGCATGTCTGTATACCATGTGCATATATGGTGCCCGTGGAAGTTAGAAGAGGGCATCAGAGTCCCTGGAACTGGAGTTATGGACAGTTTTAATTTGCTAGATGTAGGTGCTGGGAATTAAACCCTGGTCCAACGCAAGAATAAGTGCTCTCGACTGCTGAACTATTTCTAGTTCATATTGTACATTTTTTTGGAAACAGGGTCTTACTGTGTAGCCTAGCTCATGATCCTCCTGCTGTAGGCCTTGAGTGCTAGAACTACACACATGCACCTGCCATGCGTGGCTCAAAAGAATGAACCTTGTTCTTCTGTTTAAGACAGTCCGTCCACCATGCATGGAGGGGTAGGCAGTGGCAGCGTTCATGATTTCCTGATACAGAGCAGTGAAAAGCCTTGGCTCTGCCCCCATTCTGAAAACAAACTGGTAAATAGCACTTGGTCAGTGGACATAACCTATCAAAATGTTTTTTAAAATAATTATAAAAATGTATCTATTTTACAACATGGGTTTAACTACACTGAAAAAAATCACACAGCTTATTGAAATACATTTCATTTTAGAAACAGACTGCTGAAGTCTATACAGAAACTCTAAAATAGAGGCTGAAGAGATGGCTCCGAGGTTAAGAGAACTGACTGCTGTTCCGGAGGTCCTGAGTTCAATTCCCAGCAACCACATGATGGCTCACAGCCATCTATAATGAGATCTGCTGCCCAGAACACTCATACATAATACACTCGACTGCAGTCAGCACCAAAAGCTGAAAAGAACTCATTACAATACACAGTGATACAGTTAATGCTCTGGGTTAATCTCACAGCCTTCCCGATTAGTATAAAGGAAACCAGGCCTGTCCCCTCTTTGAGGAGAAGACCAGGCTATAAAATCATACCTCATCCGCTGATATGAAATTATAAAATCCCACAGTCTGAGTATCTGAAATTTATAAAAATCATCAGAAAATGCAAGCACATTGGGCTTTAGTTCAGTGGCTCCCTGGTTGTGAGGACAATCTTCTTGTTCTCTCCTTCGGGTCAGTTTGATCGCTCACCAGGACAGTGGCCAAAGTCCTGGAGGAGGCCATGGAGACGGAGAGACCCCAGAGAGGCACAGCTGCACCCCTTCTGCCAACTAACTCACCACGGGGATGGCACTCCGGCTGGCGCTAACGATGCTGGGCCTGGGGTGCGCTGTTCTTCTCTGTCAGATGCCTCAGGAAGGTGCCCTCGCTCTGGCCTCTGTGGTTTGGGAGCTTGCTCTTGAAGAGGGCCGGAGGTGGGGGCAGGTGAGGCACGGGTGGGATGGGGAGGTGATGTGCACATGGTGTGGATGTGCAGGTGTGAGAAAGGGTGCAGGACGGGACTTAAGGGAAGCACGCCACCCACGGGGTTCATACTGACTGCGGGGAGCTGGGCTCATAGGAGTGTTGGCTGTGAAAAGCCTTGGCTCTTCCCCCATTCTGAAAACAAACTAGTAAATAGCACTTGGTCAATGGACATAACCTATCAAAATGTTTTTTTAAGATTTATTTTTATTGCTATTGTTAACTATGTGTGTCTGCATGTGTATGCCACACAAGTGAAGATGGCTTTGGAGGCCAGAAGAGGGCGCTGAATACCTTGGGATTGGAGTTTCAGGCGTTTGTGAGCCACCCAATGTGGGTGCTGGGAACAGAACTGCGGTCCTCTGTAAGAGCAGTAAGTGCTCTTAACCACCGAGTCAACTCCCCAAACACTTAAAAATATATTTAAAATTATTATTTAATTAATTTGTGTGTGTGTGTGTGTGTTTGTGTGCACCTGTGCACACAGGTACCTATGAATAGTGCCCCTGTGTGTGGAGGTCAGAGGTCATGTTTGGTATCTTCTTTAGTGTGTCTCCCCAGGGTTTCTCACCTATTCAGCTGGGCTCCTTAGTTCTTGAGCTCCAGGCATTTGCCCACCTCTGCCTCCTTAGAGCTGGGTTGACAGCTGTGCTGGGGATCTATACGCCAGCTCTCATGCTTTAGCCATAGTATCTACTGCCTGGGCCATCTTCCCAGCACCCACAAAAACATCTACAAAGAATTCATGAGCCAGGCGGTGGTGGCGCATGCTTTTAATCCCAGCACTTGGGAGGTGGAGGCAGAGGCAGGCAGATCTCTGTGAGTTCGAGGCCAGCATGGTCTACAGAATGAGTTTCAGGATGGGCTCCAAAACTATACAGAGAAATCCTGTCTAAACAAACAAAAAGAAATAAAGAAAAATAAATAGAAAGAAAGAAAGATAAAGAAAGAAATTCTTGGGCTGGAGAGATGGCTCAGTGGTTAAGAGCATTGCCTGCTCTTCCAAAGGTCCTGAGTTCAATTCCCAGCAACCACATGGTGGCTCACAACCATCTGTAATGAGGTCTGGTGCCCTCTTCCGGCCTGCAGGCATACACACAGATAGAATACTGTGTACATAACAAATAAATAAATAAATAATATATAAATAAAAATACTGTATACATAATAAATAAATACGTATTTTTAAAAAGAAAGAAAGAAATTCTTTCTATCATGAATTCTTTCTTTGTTTCTTGAGCCTGGCTTGGTGGTACATGCCTGTCATTTGGCACTCAGGAGGCTGAAGCAAGAGGACCAGGAAATCAAGGTCAGCCTGGGCTACACAGGGAGACCCTGTCACGCAAGTATCACAACACAAACCAAAGCAGAAAACAAATAAAATCACCCATGCCCATAAAGGAAAAAAAATTAAGTTCAGAGCTGAAGAGATGATATAAAACTCTCTAAAGTCTCCCACCTCCACCTTAGGTGTTATTTAATCTTGTTGTTGTTGTTTATATGTGTGTTTCTTATGGTGTAGATCCACATGTGTTTTCCACCAGATGTAGGGTGTCCTTCTCCATCACCCTACCTTAGTCCCATGAGGCAGGGGCTTCCACTCACCCTGGAGCTAGCGAGCCCCAGAACTGGGGTTACAGGTGTGTCCATAGTCCCACCCAACTTGCTTGTTTTTTTGTTTTTGTTTTTCAAGATTTGGCTTCTCTGTCTAGCCCTGGCTGTCCTAGAACTTGATTTGTAGACCAGGCTAAACTCAAACTCAGAGATCCACCTGCCTCTGCCTCCTGAATGTTGGTTTTGAACCACCACACCCAGCAACAGCCAGCTTTTTCCGTGGGTAGTAGGGATTCAAATACGGAATCCAAGCCTTTCAAAGCTAGTGCTCTTACCAACCGACCCACCCCCCACCATTCCCTCTTGTGTTATTTAAAAACAATCTTTAGATTTTGTGTGTGGCCATGTGGCAGT